AGACATATGTTTGAAATCTTTCAAGATTCAATAGCTATCACACGATACAACCAACAACCAGATATTTTTCTTATCATGACTACAAATCCCAATTGCCCAGAAATTACTTCAGCATTATTACCATATCAAAAACCTATTGATCATCCTGATTTAATTGCCCTTGTTTTTGAGTTGAAGAGAAAATATTTGATGAAGGAGATAGAAACAAATAAAGTGTTTGGAAATAAAGTTGCACATATTTTTACAATTGAATTTCAAAAACGAGGCCTCCCTCATATGCATGCACTTTTATTTCTCAAGGGTCCGGACAAAATTCGAACATGTGCTCAAGTAGACAAATTGGTCTGTGCAAAATTTCCAAACCCAAAAGATGATCCTATGCCTTTTGAAACTATCAAATGTTGTATGGTACATGGACCATGTAGTGCTCGAAATCTGCAAGCACCATGTATGGAAAATGGTAGATGCAATAAAAGATACCCTTGAGCTTTTACAGAAACAACAACTATGGATCAAGATGGATATCCTATCTATCGTCGTCATAATAATGGTCAAGTACATATTGTGAGAGGGTAAGAAGTTGATAACAGGGATGTCATACCATACAATGCATATCTTTCAAAACTTTTCAACTGTCATATAAATGTGGAAGTTTGTGCCGAAATGAGATGTGTCAAGTATATACATAAGTACATTTATAAGGGTTATGATCGTACAACGATGGTGTTAGGAATGATAAATGAGATTCAATAATATCTCGATGCAAGGTATATTGGACCTCCAAAAACTGTTTGGCGAATATTTGGTCATCCTTTGCATGTAGAGATGTCAACAGTTATACGATTGGTACTTCATTTACCTAGAATGCATCGCGTTGTTTTTAACCCAGAAGAGTCATTAGAAACGATTCAATCTAGAGCTGGTCAACAAATGTCAACTCTTACTGGCTTCTTTGCATATTATGTTGCCAGTGAAGATGAATGTCCATTCACTTATCAAGAATTTCCACAACATTTTGTTTGGCTCAAGTCAGAAAAGAGATGGAAATCAAAAGAAAGAGGATATGCAATTGGTAGAATATACTTTGCTAGCCCTAATTGTGGTGAAAGATTTTATCTGCGTTTGTTACTAACCATTGTCAAAGGACCAAAGTCATTTCAGTCTTTATGCACGGTCGATAATGTTGTGCATGATGCATTTAAATTAGCATGTGTTGCAAGGGGGCTTTTAGAAGATAATGAATAATGGATACAATGCTTGAAAGTTGTTGCAGTTATAAAAACTGGATATCAGTTAAAGAGATTGTTTAGTATTATTCTCACCCAGTACTCTCCACTAAATCCATGTGCATTATGGAATCAATTTTCAACGCATATATGTGATGATCTTGCACATAAGATTTGTACATTGTTTGTCATTTCTAAACCAACTAAGGCTCAAATTAAAGATTATGGTCGCCATCTTTTGAATCAAATGTTGCATGAATCAAGCAAAAGTTTAATTGACTTATCACCCATGCCACAACCTACTGCAAATTGGAGTGCAGTAGTTAGTAATCGATTGATATTCGAACATCAACAACTGTAGAGTGAGGCACAACATGCAGATCCACAAATTACTATTGATTGTCTCAATAATGGACAATGGAATGCTTATAACATAATCATTTCTTCAGTTTTTCAAAATAAAGGAACTATTTTCTTTCTGAATGGGGGTACTGGAACAGGGAAAACATTTCTGTACAATACGATTGCATTAAAATGTCGCAGCCTTAGGCATATCGTTGTTACTGTGGCTTCATCTGGAATTCCATCATTGTTACTGGTAAAAGGTCGCACTGCACATTCAATATTTTCCATTTCGTTAGATGTCTTAGAAAATTCACTTTGTGGGTTTAGCAAACAATTATTACAAGCTGAGTTATTTAGAGAAACAAAACTCATAATTTGGGATGAAGTTCCTATGCAACATAGACATTGTGTTGAGGCGGTTGATCGTACATTAAGAGATATTTGTGATAGTGAAAAGCCATTTGGGGGTATTACTGTTGTTCTTGGTGGAGACTTTCAACAAATCTTACCAGTTATACCCAAAGGAGTTCGTGAGTAAATTGTGAATGCATCATTAAGACACTCTATTATATGGAAGCATATATATTTATATATATATATATATATCTTAACTTTGGATTTGAATATGCGCTTGAATCATGAAGGTCATGATTTGCAAATTTCTTGATGGAGGTAACACTACTTTAACCTTTATTATATAGATTATTTTAAATTAATAAATTGTGTTTACACTCTTATTTTTTTATTGATTTCACTTTTTTTTAGATTAGGACCAATCCTCAAGAAATTGTTAACGTTCCATCAACAATACAAAAATGTCAAGATTTGAATGAATTACTCTCTACAGTTTATCCACAATTGAATATGATAGATAAGTCAACCCCAACATTTTTAACTGAACGCACAATTCTGTCTGCGCGTAACGATGATGTCAGTGACATTAATACTATTGCGTTGAATATCTTTCCAGAGAGATTATATACTTATCTTGCAGTAGATAAAATGTCTGAAGATAATGAAATTAATCCTACTATTACAAATAAATATCCTAATGAATATTTAAATTCATTGGATCCTCCTGGGCTGCCAACTTTTTAGTTAGAGTTGAAAGTAAGTTGTCTTATAATATTGTTGAGAAACATTGCACCGAAAGATGGACTATGTAATGGTACAATATTGACGGTTACTAGGTGCGGCACTCGCATAATTGAGGCTCAAATTTTAAATGGAGAAAAGTTTGGCAATTCGGCATTCATACCAAGGATATCTTTGACACTACCTTATTCAGAAATGCCTTTCCAAATGACAAGACGTCAATTTCTAACCCGATTAGCATATGCCTTGACCATTAATAAATCTCAAGGACGATTTGTGAAATTTGTTGGGGTTGATTTGCGTATACCAGTGTTTAGCCATAGGCAATTATATGTGACATTGTCTAGATGTACGTCCTTTGATCATATAGGTATCCTCCTCCCTAAAGATAGTTTGGGTTCTACTACAAATATTGTTTATCTTGAAGTGTTGTTATAGTATTCTATGTACATTAAATGACGTTTTATTAGAAGGTAACCATGTAGATTTATTTCTATTGATTATATAACTTTTTATAAAACTTCAAATTTAATAATAATTTGAAATTTTGACTTTTGTAGGATTGGACCGAAAAATTTATAGAGCTTAAAAGGAGAAATACAACTAGCTTGCTTTGATGGGGATCTAATAAGGTAATTTCAATCTCAAAATATTTTGACATGTATATTTCCAACAAATGTACTAATCTATATTTTTTGTTTCCACAAATTACCAGATTGTTATGCATATTCCTCATTGGGGATACATATAAGTTGATACAAAGACTTTTTGGAAAGTAACGAGGAGGAAGTCTGGGCAAACACATATTTAAAGATATGTTATTGACACATCTTTTGTAAAACATACATATTTTGAAAAGCTTTAATCCACTTTTTGTAAAGTTTTAACCTACTCTTTTGGTTTATGACAATAAAACTTTAATTTCTGTTTTTGGTTTAGTATTTAGACTTTTTTTTACTACCTTTTATATTTTGATATGCAATATAACTTTAAATCTTATATATTTGTTTCTTAATTTGCATTAAGATTAGGAAAAATTGTTATTTTATTTGAGTTTTATAAAACGTGTAATACATGCAAAATTATTATAAGTTCTTTAAAAAGAAAAATATTTTAATATATTTTTTCAATATCTTTATCAAAAAATAACACAAACTTCATAAATTTCAACATAATACATATAAATTATTTACACCGTGCCTTTAGGCACGGGCATACGCTAGTATATATATACTTTGATAGAGCTCGCTTGAGATTGAGATTTCAGTATCATCCAAATTATAATTTAAATTATACAGAAATAAAAATGCTAATTATAATTTGGTTTCAGTATCCAAATTATACAGAATAAAAATGTTAAGTTTCTAAGATCTAACCATCCAAAGAAAAAGGGAACATGTAAATTATGAAATACAAAATACAATCTAATCCTGAAGCACTTGAAATTCACTTCTTTTTTTTTTTTTGAAAATTCACTGGTTGAGTAGACTTGATAAGATTCATCAATCTCTCCATTTCCTTTATGGAAAAAGAGAATGCCACTTGAAACAACATACAATTTTAAGAAAATAAATAATATATATTACTAGTAGATTTACAAATCACATATAGTGCATGAAGTGGTGTGTGATAGAGTGTATATGAGGTCCATCATAAATGTGAGGTTTTCCTGGTTTTGAACTTTTGATCACTCAAACTGTGTTTGAATGGTGAATTTAGGTAAAGACCAACCTAAAAGTACACGAAAAAAAAACAGCAGCAGCAGCAGGATGTGGGCTTGTATAAAAACAATAAAAGAACTGGTTTAGTTTAAATGCATGCTTCTCACTCTCATAAATCCCATTCCTATCAACAGCCCTATAAGACAAATTTGTACTGTTGGGCAAGAACAAGATTAACCAGGGCAATGCAAAGAGAATCCCAGTTTCAAATGCTACTAAAATAATAATAAATAAATAAAACTAGGGTCATCCAAACAAATTTTTAAATTTATTTTTTCATTTCTCAACAACCATATTCCCAAGGTATATCAGCCATGTATGAAAACATATACAATTATGGGCATTGGGCAGTACAAATAAATGCAAGTGAAAACAATATGCTGAGGGGTAAAAAGCATAACAGGAATTCCAATTATGACATATGCTCCTAATAAAAACAAGCATAAAATATTTCTCATAATTTCAACCAGAGCAAAATTAGTCAGTATGAATTCATAACCACAATATGCTGAGGGGCAAGAAGCATAATAACAGAAATTCCAGTTATCAAGACATGTCAGAAGCCATGCTCCAAATAAAATCAAGCATCAAATATTTCTCATAATCTAAACCAGAACAAAAATTAGTCAGCGTGAATTCATAACCATTCTTTCCTAGAGACATCAAGAGCACCTAGACAACAATGGGCAAATAAGAAGTTTAAAGCAGAAGAGAACTGATAACAAAGGGGCTGAAAGAGAAAATTGTTTGATATAACAACCTTCTTGCAGCTCTAAACCACATGGCAAGCTTAACACTAGTGAATTGCCAATGAAACTTGGGTAAAGAAAGTTCACAAAATTTATCTTCCACAAAATAAATAAAAACAAGAATCTAATCATGGATTGTCAACGAGTATGAATGGCAATTGTTTCAGCCTTTAAACTAAGACAATCAGCATATTTTACCCAAAATGCATCCGGTAGTGCATGCCAGAACTGAAATTGAGACATCAAACTATAGAAGCACGAGCCCAAGTTCTGATGGTCTCAAAACGTGGTTTACTCGATAGTTATAGAGGTAATAGTGGAGTTTCCCGTCACCAGGTCCAAATTTCAGTTCCTTCAAGAAAGATTCATTCTGCATAACATCCAAAGCATTGAAGACGTCGTAATCGTTCTGCTTGGCTACAATGAGAGCATCATTCATGAGCTGAAGCAATGGAGTCTTTGTAGACACATTATAGTAAGAATAAGCGGCCTTCAAAGTAGTGTAATTCTGGTTTCCAAGGATAGAAGATGGAAGCGTGTAAAAACTGCAAAAATCAGTGATTTCATGAGTCTCAGGGCTTTCAACCAGATAACTATCCACGACATTCTCCCTTGGAAGAAGCCAGTGTTCTACATCATTTTCATCAAAATCAGGTGCAACGAGAAACTGACTCAAGTAATTCCTAAGCAGACGTGTAACTGCAGGTACATCGTGGGACTCCATCTTCCTAAACCCCGGGGTAGCAGTTGAATCTGGCAACTTGTACAGCTTTATTGTTCGACTCATTGTCATCCTTGCACCAAGCCTAGAAAATCCAACATCAATAAGCTTCTTCGGATTTAACGATCTATGCCAATATTGGCAAGTTGATATGGGTGTGGGAAGAACCACACCAGCAGTATAAGCTGCTTGCCACATATTCTCCAAATGAACCCTTCTAGTCACCTCTTTTATCATGACAGGAGCAAGCCGTTTTGATCTGAGTTTCTTATGAACACACAGGAAATTGATCTCTGCCATGTAAACAACAGTATCACGGACCCTGATTCTTGCAGGAACTCCAGTAATAAAAGCAACCAACTTCTTTGAGCTTTTGACTCGAACTCCAATGTGCCAATTCTTGAAAAAACCAGGAGGGCGAAGAGCCCATCTAAGGAATCCCATTGAATAGTTAAACCTGAACATGTTCTCATCATCCTCAACATAGTTGTTGGTCAGTAGGGCATAAACCTCGTTGCACGTCTCTTCAGAGTCCATGTCACAAGTTATCCATTCATAGAGACTGGGAAGATTATAAGGTTCTTGTTTGACTTCAGACAAGGGTGTTGGAGGTTCAATTGGTCCTTCGGGCAAACTTGTGTCACCCAAATCCTTGAACTGCCCAACAGGTTGGGTTTCCCAAAACTTGTGCCTCTTTGCAAGAGAGAGCGACTCTTGAACCTTCCGTGCTAGCGAATCAATCGAAACACCACTCTCAGAAGGTAAATTCCCATCAGGATTATGGGTTTGGCTTTCAGCCGGTGAATTAGAAGTTGAATTGTTATCTACCATTTCCAATTATCTTGATACAATGGCCTGCAAGACAACAAATTTATAATTCACTCGAAATGAAAAATAGACAAATAAAAAAACAATAATGGCATTTTTCAATATCCTGAATATGCATCAACAATAATTCAATTCTAGTAAACTCCTAACCAATTGCTGAGAAAAGCAGGAAAATAAATATGATAGTGAAACATATGCATACAGACAAACTTACATGTGTGTATGCAAATACAGGATCCGAATCTCATATATTTCTCTCTGAAACCAGAGAGCGAGAATCTCCATTCATCTGTGTCTAATACAATCATTTGGATAACTTCATGACCAGTTCGGGCATCTCCATCCCTTAAACATATATCAAATTTCAATTGGGTTAATTACACCAAGACCCCCTCAACTACAAGTGATTATCAACTTACCCCTCATTTATGAACCTGTAAATTTTGACGCCCAAAACTATAGAAGTATAAATCACCTTCAAAAGGATGTATTTCTATGATTTTTTATAACTGAGGGGTCAATTTGTACGAATTCACAGATGATGAATACAGTGATACTTTAGGGGATCTACGTGTAGTTAACTCATTTAAATTTTGGTAAACTACACACACACACACACACACAAATAAATAAATAAATAAACTCTCCACTCCTTGAATCAAACTTATCTAGCTATTTCTTTTACCCAAATCAAGGAGAGTCAAATTTTAAAGATCATCGTGTAGCATTCAAATTCTCAATTACGAAAGCTATGCAACTCAAATTTATGCTTAAATCTAAGTTTTTCCGATGGAGTGCTTCATATCAATTAAAGATTTTACTCAAATTCTTATGGCCTTACGTATCGTTCCTAAACCAAATCAAACAATCGATAAAATAAAAAAAGCATTCAATGAAATTTCTCTCCTCTGCAACGAAACGGTGAGTGAAGAAAACGCATAGAGTAAAGTTGGATTAGATTTTCGAGATCTATCTAAACATTAAAAGAGCGTACAACTCAGAGATACACTACAAGATAACAAAATTTACCTGAGATTGCGTTTCTGTGAGCTCTGTCGATCTAGGGTTTAGGAGAGAAGAAGAAAGAGAGATCGGAGGAGAGAATGAGAGCTGTGTGCGTGGTTTTAGAGAGAGAAAGGTTGGATTGGATTGGGAGGATTGGAAAATATACGCAGTCGATGATGGAATCGTAGTGGAAACTAGCGTGGAGAGAGCGCTACCCTTATATGTAATTATCAACAAAATTGCATGGGTATGTTTGTCATTTACCTTGTGTTTTAGGAATCTATTATCTATGACATGAGAGAAAATAAAGCATAAATTCTTGGGGAAAGCACCAATAAATCCCAAATTTGGGAATGTTAACCCATTTAGTCCCGAATGTTTTTTGTTGGACTAATAGGTCCTATTTCCCAAGAAGCTTACTATAGGCCTTTTTATAATTTCCCTTCTTTTCAAACATCAAACATTATTCATCCAACATCAAACATTAGCAACGTCAGGATTATTCATCAAACATCAACCACTAAACATTAAGATTATTCATCAAACATCAAACACAGATTTTGAACCATTAAACATTAGGATTATTCATCAAACATCAAACATTATCAATCAACCATCAAACATTAGATTTATGAGTAACATCATCGAAACAACATCAAACATCATCATCAAAACAACATCAAACATCACAACATCATCATCAAAACAATATCAAAATAATGATTAAACAATTTTTTAAATAATAATTAAACATCAAAATAATGATTAAAATAACATCAAACATCAAAATAACGATTAAACAATCATCATAACAATTTGTTTGATCAAACATCATCATAATTTATTAGCCCTAAACACACAAACCCAGATCTGAAAAAATGAAGATGGATATATATAAATATATATATATATAAAGAGAGAGATTCAATTCTCATCAATCTTCAGTATCAACCCTCACGACGACCACCACCACCACGGAACCCGCCGCCTCCGATGGGAAGATCCGATGGGAGAATCGGATCGCAGGATCGGACCCGCCTGAGGACTCGATCTTGGCATCTCGATTCTGTGGGTTTGGAAGAGAAATGGGCGTGGAAGAGAGTGGTGAGCGAGGAGGAGGAGACGATGGGGTGGTTATTGACATCGTAGGCGAAGTCGGGACCGACCTTGGAGACGTAGGTGGAGGGAATAGAGAGGCCATCGAGGACGGCGAAGATGAAGGCCACGGCGCCGCCGAGGCTATCGGCGATTACAACGTCGTCTTTGATGAGGACATCGTGGCAGTAATTCCCGACGATTAGGCCACGACAAAGGTGTTCTTGTTCTTGATATTTGATGACCATGGGTGAGATTATCGGAGCTAGAGGATCTTAATTTGTTCTTGTTCAATGATGTTTGAACATGGTCGATGTTGTTTGATGTTCGATGTTTGTTGATGTTCTGAATCTTCTGAATGTTCTGAATGTTCTTGTTGATGATGTTCATTGTTCAATGTTCTGAATGTTTTCATAAATGTTCAATGTTCTCAATGTTCAATGTTTTCATAAACATCAGCAACATCTCAATGTTCAATGTTTAATGTTCAATGTTCTGAATGTTTTCATAAATGTTCAATGTTCTCAATGTTCAATGTTTTCATAAACATCAGCAACATCTCAATGTTCAATGTTTAATGTTCAATGTTCTGAATGTTTTCATAAATGTTCAATGTTCTCAATGTTCAATGTTTTCATAAACATCAGCAACATCTCAATGTTCAATGTTTAATGTTCAATGTTCTGAATGTTTTCATAAATGTTCAATGTTCTCAATGTTCAATGTTTTCATAAACATCAGCAACATCTCAATGTTCAATGTTTAATGTTCAATGTTCTGAATGTTTTCATAAATGTTCAATGTTCTCAATGTTCAATGTTTTCATAAACATCAGCAACATCTCAATGTTCAATGTTTAATGTTCAATGTTCTGAATGTTTTCATAAATGTTCAATGTTCTCAATGTTCAATGTTTTCATAAACATCAGCAACATCTCAATGTTCAATGTTTAATGTTCAATGTTCTGAATGTTTTCATAAATGTTCAATGTTCTCAATGTTCAATGTTTTCATAAACATCAGCAACATCTCAATGTTCAATGTTTAATGTTCAATGTTCTGAATGTTTTCATAAATGTTCAATGTTCTCAATGTTCAATGTTTTCATAAACATCAGCAACATCTCAATGTTCAATGTTTAATGTTCAATGTTCTGAATGTTTTCATAAATGTTCAATGTTCTCAATGTTCAATGTTTTCATAAACATCAGCAACATCTCAATGTTCAATGTTTAATGTTCAATGTTCTGAATGTTTTCATAAATGTTCAATGTTCTCAATGTTCAATGTTTTCATAAACATCAGCAACATCTCAATGTTCAATGTTTAATGTTCAATGTTCTGAATGTTTTCATAAACACCAGATTCGATGATGTTCAATGTTCTTGAATGTTCTGAATGTTTGAACATGGTCTTCATGTTTCTGAATATTCGATGATGATGTGCTTGAATGTTCACAAAGATGTTGCTGATGTTTGTTTGACGATATACCAAAAATAATCGGGACTAAATGGTTTAATAAAAAACATTCAGGACTAATTAGTGTAACATTTACTAAAATAGGATTTATGAGTAATTTTTCCTAATAACAACTTCTAAGGTGGTTACTACCAATCACGTAATTAAAAAGGACCAAATAGTTAAACATGAGTCATTAAACAAACTTAATTTAAATTAAATCTAAGTCATGAGTCCCACCCATAAGCTAAACATGGTCTAATTATATACCAAAATAGACTAAAAAATTTATCTCAAATCATGGTCCAAACACCTAAAACTCAAATTTCAAATTCTGCTATAAATTAAACTGAACACCAATTAGTCTGCAAATTCTCATAAAATAAATACTGACCATTAAATTCCAATTTTTTTATCCCACATGCTAGACTCTTATAAGAACAACATAATAAAAATTTCATAATTTCTGAGATCGAAAATTATATATTTTTTTTAAAAAAAATTTATTACAAAATTGAACCATTTTCGCACATAACTTTATACAACACTCCAATCCAATTATTATTCAATTAATTTATGCATTGACTATTTAAAACAAAATATTTTGGGACATTACAGAGCTCGAGTTGGACAAATTTTATGCGAGCCGAGCTTGAGCTGACATATTTGGGCTCGCTTCGAGCTCGAGCTGAGCTTGAACATCTTCAAAATAAATCGACCCGAGCTCGAACATTGATAAACTCTGCTTGGCTCGGCTCAATTACACCCCTAGGCATATCGCGCCATTCCATTTATTAACAAGCTCCTTCTTCTTGGCAATTTTCTTCATCAACTTAATTCTTACACTATTAATCAACTTTGTGATAAGTAAATGTTGTTCCTCCCGTATCCATGAATTGAAAGATTCAGCTACATTTGACCAGATCTCTCCAAAGCATTGCCCTCGAAAATATGCATTACTCTAATGATCATGTGGTATGTCATCTGAAAGCTTTTCAACTCTTGACCCACCTTCTGTCTTTAACTCAACCAAACATTGATGAAATGTTTCTTCAGTTGGAGCATATGCACATTTCCTAAACAAAGTGATCAGCTTTTCTTTCAATCCACGAAACATACCACGCAAATGATACCTCAAGTTCATCTTCAAATGATATAAACAATAAGCATAGAAAGCCATTGGGAAAACCTTTGGCAAAACTTCAACTAATCCAAGGTTACGATCTGACACGAATGTAATATTTCGTTCTGGTGAAACAGTTGTACTCAAATGCTCCAAAAACCAATGCCGGTTGTCTTGATTCTCTAAGCCAACAATTGCAAAACAAACAGGAAAGAACCATGCGTGTACAAAACAAAAAAAATGAGAATATTCTATTTTTCTTAGAAAATGGTAACATTTTAACATTCAAAATATCAAACACTAAATTGAATAATTGTAAAAATAAAAAATGCATATACAACAACAATATTATATAAAATTTAAAACATTCAATCATATTTCTAAACTGAGAACTTTCTCAATTCCAGAACAGAGAAAATAGATTTCTTGTGTACCTTGATTTCCATATTTTTCTGTAGCGGCAAGTAAATTTCCTCTAAATCTTCCCTTAAAAAATGTGACATCAAGAAGAGAGGTCGACAATAATCAAATCCACTAATGGAACCATAAAAAGCAACAAATAATCTCTTAAACTGGCGTTGTGGATTCAACGTTGGGCAAGACAATTCTGAGATGAAGAATGTGGTGTAAGAGGAATATAGGGGTCGGTTCAATTTGAGCATGGATTCGCTAGATAATTGAGAATATAATTGTGTAATTCCTTTTGTCTTCTTAGTGAATTGTTTTATGACTTTGGCTAGTGGTTTTTTATCACAATTGGAGGTGCTCCAATTGTGGTTTTTTCACATTAAAATCGTTGTATCGATTTGTCTTAATTGTTTGATTGGAATTGTTATTTACTGCTTGAAATTGATTCATAATCACAAATCAATATCTAGGAGATTTTTAGATTTTTCAGTAAGGATCGGACTTTTCACCTTCAAAGCTTAGGTTTGATTCCCGCTGGCAACAGTTCTCCTTGGTAGCCAATTTATAAGTCCAATGTAAGTCATCGTTGAGACCTGTGGCTTGCCCTGGCCCTGGACTGGGATAGCCTTCCCTCACTTAAACTTTTTCTTACCAAAAAAAAAAGAGGGTCTATTTTTTAAATTGTATTTGTTGTTCATTTTTTCAAAAGAAATTTGAACTAATCAATTTGTTGTCAATATCCGATCAATTTAATTTTTTGCTTCAATGCTTAGCTTGACAACCTTACAAATTGAATAGTTTGGATCATCTTGATGGGCCCAAGAATGGACCCACAACCATGAAATTGGACCTTCTGGTCCAAAAATTAGACTTAAGGTAAGCTAGATTTTTTCTTTATCATATGAGGTATCATCGCTATTTTGGCTTAATGAATCCCATTGCTTATATCTATTATACATATAATGATGACACACCATATGATAAGATAATGTGATTATAGAATTATTGTTGAAAAATTTAAAATTCCTGAGATATTGATTTGTGATTATGTTTTAATTTTAAACAATGAATAATAATTCCAATCAAACAATCAAAGACAAATTGACACAACGATTTAATGAGAAAACCTAATTCTAGGAAACAAAACAAGACCAACATACCCTCAAGAGCTCAAACAAGGCTCAAAGTTACCTCAGCTCAAAGATTGAGAGGTTTGGTTAAGAGTGTACAGGCAAAGCTGAAGACTGTATAGGCAAAGGTGAAGACTATATAGGCAAAGGCTAAGAAATTTGCAAGAGAAAGAGAGAGAATTGTAGAGAGAGAGAGAGAGAGAGAGAAATAATTTTGCTTTAAATTTTCTAACCCTCAAAAATGGAAGGGGAGGTCTTCTATTTATAGAAAAACATGCAACTCCCTCAGAAACATCCATACATACACGTGTGGGCATATGCAAGCACCTGTGGAAATAGCTAACACAGCTGGTATAAATATCTACCAAAACACATAAGTAGCCGGCAGGCCAACTCATGGCCGGCAGCCAGAATCAATGGCCGGCAGCCAATAACAGTGGCTTGCAGCCCACAAAAATGGGCCTACAAGTCCCAAGGTTTTCAGGCTTGAAAAACTAGGGTTTTGGTCCAAAACAAGGCAAGAGGTTTGTAAGGTTTTGAAGGCTCAAACCTGTGGCATTCTACTGAGGACTTCGAGCACTTGACAAGCATATATAACTTCATCATTGGGTATGCAAATGATGGTGTAGACACCCCATTTTTGACCGTCCTCAAGACTTGGACGTCATCGTTTGAACACTCGATGATCATCCATGTTCGTGTTCGTCTTGAGTTCTCGGAGGTTTCGGTCGCGCGCCATGCCTCAAGATCTCTTGACTTGTTTGTTTTGTGCTTGGTTGTGTACCAAACTCTTGTGTTTTTGCTTCTGAGGGCAGGGAATGGCTTGTTGGCCATCCCCACACCTCACCGGCCTTGGCTTGAGGCCACCGGCCTTGTTTTCTTGCTACCGGCCAAAGATTTTGGTCGGTCGGCAATGTTTTTGGTCGACCGGCCATTTTTTTTTAGTCAATCGGCCATATTTTCCAGCCGACCCCTTCCCATCTGCTTTTGGCAGATTTTTGATGCCAGCTGCTGGCATCCACAATACACCCCCTCCATACACATGTATGGAGGGATTTGCTCCCTTGTGTTGGCTTATCCAAAAAGCTTAGGAATTGAATTCCTATAAAAGGAGGGCCTCCCCTCCCTTTCTAGAGGTTGAACAACCTGTGATATATGATATATATCACACTCTCTCTATATCTTTATCTCTCTCTATATTTGTGTGTAATAGTGTTTAAAAAGGGTTTTTGTTCTTAGTTTTGCACTAAGACACCTAGTGTTACACTATACTTTGGTTGCTGAGGTTTTAAGGGGTTGATTTTAGAGTTTTGAGTTGGTTTTTGATCAAAAAGAGGTCCTGGAGTTGGTGTTCTTGAATTGTTCTTCAAGGGTGAGAACTTACCTTTTTATTCCCTATTTTTGCTTAAGGTTTTAGACCTATTTTCATATTGTTTCGAGCTTAGTGTATAACTAATAAAAGTTCTATATTTTCATGCTTGTTATAGTTTCTTAAGGTCATTTTGGTGTTGGGGGTTGTCTACCCCCTCTTAAGCCTTGTTTGACCCCTTTTGTGCCTTCCTCTTTGGGCTTTGGAACCCTTCGTGTATTGACCTTCTCACCACTGAAATCTAGAGGATTTTCAGTGGTGGGGAAGTGGTTTTGAGGTCTTGTATAGGGGAGGGACACCCCTCTCCCCTTGTGACTCATTTGCTTGCATTTAGGGCTCATAAAGGTAGCATGTTTGCATAGCTTTATTTGGCTCCATTTCAGAGGGTATTTGGTGTTAGTCTATCATGCTAGACCTCTGTTTCATGTTGGTTCGATGGCCTATTGTTTGCATCATGCACTTGCTTTGTAATCCCTTCTATTGTCATAACATGTATCATGCATTTAGACCATCATACTTGCATGTTTTAGCTTGACTTCATGAAGCTCTTATCCATGTTTTGACATGTTTAAGCTCTGTTTGGTGTTGATTTGGTCATGTTTTCCATATTTCGTATAGTCACCATGTATCCTAGCTTGTTAGCTTTGAGTGTATGAGTCATGAGCATGCTTTATTTGGGTTATTTCAGTGATTTGGAATCATTTATCATGCTATTTCAATCCATGCTCCATGCTTGTATGCTTGCATTTACCATCCTTTCAAAGCTTTGAAGAGTTGTTCTTTTGTGCCTTAAAATAAGTCATTGTGCATGCCTCTTTGTTTAAGTCCTTGGGCTACCATATCAGTGGATTTTGGGGCTCCTTTTGGCATATTATAGCTCTATTTTTCTTTGAATAATCCATGCCATGTGTGGTTAAGGTAGTTGTAGTGTAGTGCTCTCTTTGTGGCTTTGAATGCCCCTCATTTTTGCGCCCATTTCCTAGCATGTTTTGGCCTCATCCCATGCATGTTCTAGCATTATTTTGGCCTGCCAAGGGACTGTTTTGGGTCACCTTGGTCCTTTGGGGCTTGGTTGATATGGCCATGGTTCAAGTCCTTTGGCTAGCTTTGAACTTTAAGTCCATTAGCATGCCATTCTTGTCTTGTTTAGTTGATTTGGCATCACTCTTAACATGATTTCAAAGTCTATCGCATTGTCATATTCTCATGTTTATCACATCTCACTCATATTTGAGGATTGTGCATTGTTGCATAGTTTATGGATCAATGTGTGAACATGCGTGTTTTGCCCTTTCGGCGCCTTAATTCATCACTTTGGCCACTGATTTGGGCATGGCCGAGGTCCTCCCATTTTGGTTTAAGTCCATCCCTTGCATGTTGTTGCATGCTTGCTTCATTTTGCATGTTGTGACACGTTATATATGTTCACATGTTTAGGTTGAATGCCTATTGCATATTGCTTGCTTGCATGCTCATGTTGCATTAGCTTGCTTGCATGCTTAGGATGCATTGCATTGGGTGTGTAATCCCTTGCCTCTTGATCAACCACGATAGAGGTAAGGGCTACTTATGTGTTTTTGTGCATTTCATTTGACATTAAATTGCACATTTGGCTCCTTTGGCCATCATGCATCGAAATGCGTGATTGGTGGTCCGAGGGTTGAGAACCATACTCCCTTGAGTTCATAACATGATAGGGAGGGTGGTTGTGCACACATTGCCTTGAAAATGCATTGCCATGCTCTGGTTGTCCTCTGCTGTAGCAAAACAGCATTCTGCAGGAAGATATGGCCAGTCGGCCATCCATAGTGCCGATCGACTACAAATTTATGGCCAAGAGCCTTACAAATGGTTGATGACCAATTCCACATGGCCGGTGTTCCTATACCTTGGCCAGTGGACTCTCAGCATGTCCCCAAGGTCGTTCAGAAGTGTCATAGAAGTTGGCACAGTTTTCAGAGGTACAGAGTAGTGCAAACAGAGGCAACATGAAGCATGGCGATGGATTTCCGAGCAAAGCCATCCGAGCATGCATTCGTCCCTCTTCCCGAGGCCGATTTACTGTTTTTGTAGCCTAATTAATTTGCTTAATTAGTTAAGGTTTTGTAAAAATTAACTAGCTTGTAAGTTAGTTAATTAGATTGATTTGTATTATTCTTTCGGTCCCTCCACCGGGAGGGCGCAATTATGTAATAAGCGTGCGTGTGTGTGATGCATGTCTTCCAACCTCCACTTCTTTCTCCCTTTTACTTACCTGCTTTCAATGGTTAGTGCTAGGGCACGTTTCAATTAGCATACTTGTGCTTGTATGTTTGCATTCATTCATCTGTATCGCATGCACCAGGCTCGGCGCATCATACTAACTGCATCGTATTTCAATTCCTACTTGAATACATGTATCAAGTTGTCGCATCTCATATGCCATATTAGAATAGCCGAGCCTATTTCTAGTTGCACTTTGCATGCGATGCATAAGCCATTTTAACATGAACTAGGATCATGAATGATTTCTAACTAGTTTATTGTTTTGGCTCGAAGTACACTGTGAGTGTTTATGCTTTAGCATCTTGCATGTATATGAGTGTTAACATGATAACATGTTTTCTATGAGGATAAATGCTTATATGATATAACTGCTTGAATGCCTATGGGTGAAGGTTGGATTACTTGAATTGGAATGATTCATTGAAATCCGTGTTTTAGCCTACTTGCGAGTAGCAAATTTCAAACTGTTTCCAAACGAACGGATGTGCGATGCTTTGTTCCAAATTAGGCGATCTAGTCTATACTTGTGTGTTGTGCACATCACATAGTAATTCTAGCTAATTAATCGGAATAAGAACACATATGTTTTGAAAACAAACTATCATGCTTAGTATAGGCCGATCTTTGGATCGGGCGAGCGAGGGTGCTCATAGATGACCTTCCCCAATCGTACCCAAGTTCCCGAGCTGAGGCAACTTTGGTGATGATGGACATGTGGCCTTAGGCAACGAGTCAGGGTTTCCTGAATTTCTCCAAAATAAAATATTTAGGTGGCGACTCTATATCTGGCAAAGCAGTCCATGTTTGGCACTTTTTTCTAAAAAATTAGTTTTCCAAAACGATTTGCCGGATTTGGACTCTTTGGTGATTTATCAATCTCACATCGCACATTGTGGGATCAAATTAAGAACCGTGACATTTGAGTCCGAACTGTAGTAGCATGGGGCCCCCCGGGGCGCATTTACAGATGGTGCCCAAGTCGTAAGGGCAGACAAAAATGGGGTGTCTACACCCCTTTGTACGCCGTTTCCTGCACCAAGTTCAACTTACCCCTATGCAAGTGTTCGTAAACTTGTTTCGAGTCATCTGTGGCATTTCTACTCTTAACAAGAGGTTGGGTCTCAATCTGGACATATGAGACATTCTTGGTTGTTACACCCTTTCTCATAATGAAGATCATAGTACTTATTATCTCCATGTCCGTTTGGCTGATTGGCAACTGTCACCAGATTACCTGACTCTGACAAACACAATGATGATTTCTTACAAGTTGGTGGTAACTGGGAGTTTCCTACTGGGACCGAGTTCCAATTGGAACAGATGCCTTAGAAGGATGGCTACCCAGGTCTAAGTCCTGTGCCCTAGTATTTTTGCACTTTTGTTATTTGTTTGAATGCTCTTGCTAATGTTGTTCCCCTTTTCTCTGCAGAGGCTTCCCGTGACCAACATAGACCGAACCGCAAGAATGCTAAGGCGATCAAGGCCGTTTTGAGATACAAAAAGAGGTCTGCCCCTGAACTGTTAGATTACCAGGCAACATACTGAACCACAATACCGAAAAAAGTAAAACTCGCTGCATCCCTTTTCGATTCTGATACTGAAACTGACACAACCCCTACCCCTCTAGGAGAGTCTTGCTAATGTAGTACATTGGTCTCTGTTCCCTCTCAACTTTGCGAATCTGTACTGCACTTACCGCATGGTTTGTGACAGCCAGATATAGATATAACTCTTTCCTTGGTTCTGGAGTGGAAAAGAAAGGTGGTGTACTGAGATACTTTTTGAGGTCCTGTAGCGCTCCAGTACATTCAGGACCCCATTCAAATGCAGCCTTTTTCCTCAACAGTTGAAAGAAAGGCTTCATCCCATCTGATGACTTGCTGATGTATCGTTTTAAGGCTGTTGCCATTCTGGCTAGTTTCTGCAGTTCTTTGGCCTTTGTCGGTATCTTGATTTCTTGTATAGGTTTGATTTGATCCGGATTTGCCTTAATTCCGCTGTGATTCACCATGTACCCTAAGAACTTCCCTGTTTCTACCCCAAAAACCATTTCGAGGCATTGAGGCGAAGTTGATGGTTTTTCATGAGGTTGAAAACTTCTCTCAGATCTATGAGGTGGTTTGTAGCAAGCTTACTTTTCACTACCATATCATCTATGTAGGCTTCTATAGTCCGGCCGAGCTGCTCTTTGAACATTCGAGTTTCCATTCGTTGATAGGTTGCTCCGGCATTCTTAAGGCCGAATGCCATTACTTTATAGTGGTAGGTGCCTCTTAGAGTAATAAATGCTGTCTTTTCTTGATCTGGGCCAAACAGTGGTATCTGGTGATAGTCGCTGTAAGCGTCCAGAAAGTTCATACGCTCATGCCCTGCTGTTGAGTCTACCAGTTGGTCTATGCGAGGCAAAGAGAAGCAGTTTTTTGGACAAGCTCTGTTGAGGCAAGTAAAGTCAATGCAGACTCTCCACTTTTTATTCTTATTTTTGACTAAGATTGTGTTGGACAGCCATTGTGGGTACTAAATTTTTCGGGTTGCCCCCGTGCTAGGAGTTTGTTAACTTCCGTAATTACTGCTTTGGTGTGCTCAACTGAAGATCTTCGGCTTTTCTGCTCAATGGGTCGAGCGGAAGGGTTGACGTTGAGTTTATGGGAAGCAAATTTTGGATTCAGCTCGAAGTATCATATGTTGACCATGCGAATGCCTCTATATTTTTCTTTAGCAAATCCAGCAGCAGAAGTTTCTTATCAGCGCCTAGCAAGGTACCGATAAGGAAGTACTTTTTTGGGTCATCTCCCTTTACTAAAACTTTTTCTAGATCCTCTACTATTTTCTTAACTGGGGTTCCTTTGACATTCTCTAGGATTGGCTGCTCTACTACTTCTATTATCTGAACCCGATGGCAGAGATGTTTTGCCTTCATGGCTGCCATAAAATAGTGCTTCGATGCAACTTGATCCCCTGAGATTTGCTCTACTCCATGTTCTGTCGGTAAGTGGATGAGCTGGTGATAGGTTGAGGAGACTGCTTCCATTTGGTGAATCCAAGGCCGACCGAGTATAGCGTTGTAAGTAGATGGTGTGTTAATAACCAGGAATTCTATTTGAAGGGTCTTTGTCCCAACCACAACTGGCAAAACTATCCTGCCAAGTGGCCATTCAGGCTACGAATTAAAGCCGACTAACGAAGCTATCGCTGGGGTGAGGTGTTGCTTAGAGAGACCGAGCTTCCTGAACAAGTCGTAATACAATTTATCTGTTGCGCTACCCTGGTCTACCAAGACTTGTTTCATGTCAAATCGTTTCCTAATTCCCACAGTTACAATCAATGCGTCAGTATGTGGGTGCTGAATGCCTTCTAAATCCTTTTTAGTAAATGAAACGGTACACAAGGGAGACTTAGGTATTGTTCGTACCTTTTTCGGTGCTGGTTCCACTGGCATGACTTGCTGAATCTGTAGAGCTTTTGTAATTTCCTCCTGAAGTGTCTCTTCGCGCTCGTGATTGGTTGTGCCATGTATTACATTTATTACCAATCGAGGCGGATGTTCAACGTTCCGTTCTGGTAGGAGGTTCCCTTGTTCGGTCACTACTTTTTCCTGATTGATGTAATCTTGGAGGTGCCCAGTAGTTACCAAATCCTCCAGGTGTTGCTTCAATGCTCTACAATTCTGGGTCATATGCCCATTGTCTTGATGATAGGTGTATCTGAGCTTTTGGTTGTGCCGGGCTAGGTCTCCTAGCATCTTTGGCGGCCAAGTAAAGAATGACTCTCTCTTGATTTTTTTCCATAATACGATAGATAGGTTCTTTGAAGACTGTAACAACTGCTTTATGGGATTTAGACTTGTCTACTTTATTTACTACGATTCCTTGGGGTTCCCCTCGGTCTGCTCTTCTTTTGTTCCCCTGAGTTATTTGTTTGGCCGATGCCACCTTGACGGGGATTTGATCATCTTTAAGGCGAGCGTACTGCTCAATCCTGGCACGTAAGTCCTTCAGTTCTATAGCTGGGCATTTGGTAAGTGACTGTCTCAACTTGCTTTTCGGTCACAGACCGTGTTTAAAAGACATTACAGCCATCTGTTCACTGTAGACATTTTCCTCCAAATCATTATACTCTTCCCAATACCTTCTTGCATAGTCACGCAATGTTTCCTCCTGTTCCTTTCGGAGACCGAACAAGGTGTTTGGCTCTTTTGGGATTTTATTGTTGGAAACAAATCTGGCCAAGAACTCTTTAGAGAGCTACTTCTAGCCGTAAATAAATCTAGCGGGGAGACGATCGAACCATCGGAGTTCTGATTCTCCCAGGCTGGATGGAAAGACTTTGCACATTAGTGGCTCATCTCGGCTCCACAAGGACATCATCTGCCGATAATGGCTAATATGTGTTAGTGGGTCCGATTTCCCATCATATGATGTGAATTTTGGTGGAGTGAATTTCTTGAGGGGTCTCATAGCTTTGATTTATAGGGAGAAAGGAGAGGAGACGAGCTGATCCAGTACTCGATGCTCTCTCTGATGGACAGTACGATCAAGGTATTGAGCCTGATGCTCTCGTCGTTGCTTATTTTGTCTATTCCCAAGCAACCAAGTATAGAGATCCTAAGGAGGATACTCTGTCTGTTGGCTGGCCATTTTCTACCTCTTAGCTCTTCTCCGGTGTGAACCACGGGTGTGGCTGCTCATTGCTTCACTTCGCACTGGAATAGGTTGACTTTGCTGCCCAGATTCATTTCTAGGGACCTTCTTCACTGGTGGTTCCTGAGATGGGCTCCTCTGGAGCAGATCTCCATCGGATTGCCCATCATCCTTTTGAGCTACACTTCCAGTTCCTGTATCTCCATTCCCATGAAATCGATAATACAATCTCTATAATCTTTTTCCAATAGAAAATGATGGGAAGAACCACCAGCGAAGGGTTGTCGATGCTCAACAGATTCGGGAGTCCGATTGTTGTTTTTGGTTTGCTCCTCCAGAACTGTCGGTAGCGCCAGGCCTTTATCCTTCGTCTTCTCTATTTACGAAGTCAATGCCGAGGATGGAATATCCTCAATTCCCATCATCGGGATTAAATGTTGAACTCAGAGATGAAGGATCCAAGTTCACCGCACCAATTGTACATAACGAATTCTGAAGTAGATGATTATGGACCAGAGCTCCACACCTGATTGGACTATCCAGGAACTGAGATCCTGTAACAATGAGCACCGTTAGAGCTGCTCGGTCAGAGTTGGCCGGATAAACATCCGGTGTGAGAGTAAGTGATTGGAGAAGATGAAGTGTAAATGTAGAGAATTGTGTTCAAGTGATTATAGTTTGGCTCAGCTTGGTTACCTTCAATGTGAAGTGAGTGGAGTTTATAAAGATCACCTTACTTGTTGCCCAAGATGGTTTCATAAAGCTTTGATGTAGCTGGGCTCTCTCTTTAGCATTGCTCAAGATAAGGGACCACCAGGTAGTTGACCATGGATGCATATTTTCATTGTAACCACGCTTATAACAGATCACATTCCCTGATCAACTATTTATGTGATTCTAGGGGGAGGGGACCAGCTGAGGTGGCAACGTGCACATGCATGCACTCACAGATCCCATGTTTCTTTGTGAGGTTCCCTCAGCTTGGTGCTGTTGTTCCTCGGCTCAGCCTTCCACTAGGCTATTTACAGAGAGAGGCTGGCCCAATTAGATATTTTTGTGTGGGCCTGGTCCACTTTGGTTTTTGATTATAGCTCTGCCCAACCCAGTATCGTTGCTGGACTGGCCTTTTCACTACAAGTTGGGCTCAAGTGCTTGAGGACTTTGGGTGGACTGTTGATCATGGAGCTGGGCTTAATTGGCTTGCCCAAATGTTCACCTGACTCATTTGGACTTGGATCTAGTGGATTGAGCCAGCACAAGGCTTGGGTCCGACCCATTTATACTTTGCCCTTTCATTTGCCCCCTAGCTCGCTCTAAGGTTCCTCTTTGGGGGGAGCTACTATCTAGTTCCCCAAGCATCATGTTGCTTCGTATTTGCCCCAGTTCGGCCTTGGTGGCTGTTCAATCCTGACACATGCACTCTGCATGCGTCCTTTCATGGTGACACGTGGCAACGCTGTACTGGTGTATAGAAGTAGTGCGCCGATTCCATACTAAAGGGCATGATCTTGTACCTTCGAGTCAGTTGAGAGTAATAAATGCCCTAAGGGTGTCAATTCAAGTCTCTTCGCTTATCTCCAAACTTCAGAAATTCCCAAAACCCTTTCATTCTTTTACCTTGCTCCTGACGGTGCTCTACTTAGACTCTCGCCGCCATTACTGCTGCTATTCTTGTTTCAGTCTCAAAGATCACCACTCGTCACTGTTCCTTCATCAAATCTCTATAAGTTCCCCTGAAACTTATCTTTTCTTTCATTTTTCTGTCCCGATCACCCTTTTTGGCCTTCGCGCCATTGTTTTCGATGATTAGTTCTGTTTCTTGTTTAGTTGGGTTTGGTTCTTGCCTTACTAGGTCTAGATAATGTGAAAATTTTGAGTGTTGGTGGATACTTTTGAGGCAATGGCCTTATTCCGCCATTACGGTGTCCTTGTTGATGTGACCCTTTTGCTGGCGAAAGTTGACGGCAAGCACATGGGTACTAGAAACACTGTTGCTTTCCCTATTACTACCATTGTTAAAGGAGGGGTGCGGTTTCCCTTTGACCCCTTAGTACGCAGTTTCCTGCACCAAGTTCAACTTACGCCTATGCAAGTGTCCATAAACTTGTTTCGAGTCATCTGTGGTGTTTCTACTCTTAATAAGAGGTTGGGTCTCAATCTAACATATGGGACATTCTGGGTTGTTACACTTTTTCTCATGATAAAGATCATAGTACCTATTATCTTTGTGTCCGTTTGGCTGATTGTCACCTTGTCACCGAATTATCTGATTCTGACAAACACAATGATGATTTCTTACAAGTTGGTGGTAACTGGGAGTTCCTTGCTGGGACCGAGTTCCAATCAGAACGAATGCCTCAGAAGGATGGTGTAGACTGCCCGGAACTCCGCTCCGCGCGCGAGGGTGCGA